ACTTTTATCTGCGCGGCTCACAACGTCGCAATTATCTTTATTTGCTCCAGTTCAAAGAGAAATCCACCCGGTGACATTTTCAGACGGTTGCACAAGTTCGGGACATCTGCGCTCGTGAGTGGCAATAGGGCAATGTGAACAATGAGTGTAAATTCTGAAAATGCTCTAACCCATCCCTTGATCAGACGTCCAGTCCCACCCACAGCAGGGGGTGACAGAGTAAAACCGGAAAAAAGAATTGGAAACAGTTGGGCGCGGTTCTACCCAGGCAGAAAGCATGGCCTTCTAGACTGTCCTAGACAAAAATCTGAATATTTCTATATGATTTCTGTCAATTTCTGCCACGGAACATTTTTATGCACGTCGGCGTCCTGTTCTTTTGTCTTTTGTCTGTGTGTCAGCGTCAGCTCCCGAGTCCTCTGGCAAGGTCGGGCGCCATTTTAATTTTTGCTGTTTAGATTTGATTGGAAGTTTGTTTCTGATATTTCGGCTGAAATTTATAAGTACAAAGATGTTTTTTAATATAAAGTTCCTTGTTAACACTTTAATAAAGTATATATGATATTAATTACATGAAGAAAATGATGAAATCGACGTTTCTGCGTGTAGTAGGTATGGGCCATATTATATATATAAATAGGTAATATATTAACTGTTTTTATATTTTTTTAGCTTTAAACCCAAAGATCTTGGGATATTCTTTGCCAAGGATTTTTCCGTATCTCTACTTTAAAGACTGATCGGTGATTTTGAGCAATTGAAAGCAAGTTATACAAGGTAAATTATGATTATTGAACTATTATTAGCCTACATTAATTTTCTACAAGATGAACAGAAATGCGTAATTACATATCACATAGGTACCTATTATGTATTTTCATAGCAATAATGCTATAAATCTATGTATGTAGATTATTTTTAAAATACAAATGAGGTATTAGATGTATATGTATCATATTTTTTATTCATTTTATTTTCATTCAAGTCCTGTTTGATTTAATTCACAAAAGTCTTATGTAGGTACCTATATTTATATTTTTTACATATTTTTTTTGATTCCAGGTTTTGTGTGGGTTCCGGTTGCCTTTTTCCTGCTTCCAGTTATTTATCCGTGAAGCTGTGAAAACATTTATTTATCTTCAAGTTTCTGTAAGTCAATGCACTGTTACTTTACTAATTCGCTTTAACACAGCATCTCTGATATTATTTAAATATTTAATATTGATACAGTAGTTTATTGGTTTATAGCTCTTTAATTGTGTTGATTTGCATATTTACATTGTTCTAAATTCCAAATAAATATTTGAGTAATTTTGTTGTATTATTTACTACTAGAAAGAGTAAAAAGTATATTAACCCTCATTTAAACCTCCCGAACAGCCCGCCATTAAAAACCGGAAACGGAAATAAATTTCATAAAATTGAAATTGTCATCATAAGTCATGTCTATGTCATGTCATAGTCATGTCAAATGTCCCAGCCGCCATATCTGAAAATTAGTTACCCAGGCAGCCACGCTGTTTCCATAATTTAACATTGACTTGACACTTCTTCTTGTATTTATTGACGCGAGTCGGAGAATCGTCACAGGTCGCAGTCGGCTAGACATAAGTATATTAATTATATTCCTTTTCATTCTGTTGGGAGTTTACCGAAGGAACGGGAACGTAGCGTTCCTTTTTTCTTTCATGAATCAAATGAATATTTATGTATTATATATAATCACAAACAGATGTTTTTGACAAAGGTAATTTTTAACTTGTTAGTATGTTTATTTGTTAGTTAATTTTGTATCTGTGTTTTGTTGTATATCCTAAATCTTTTATTTGATCTTATACATTCATATAAGTTTTATTATTTATATCTATTTTTAAGGTCTGATGATGGCTAAATAGCCGAAACCGGTCACTAATAAAGATTTTTTTGACAGTTTCGACTTTGAATTGAATATAACATTAAGTTTTTACCATGGGCCACCACTCTGTGAAAATGAACAGACTCTTTAAGATATTTATAGCAAAGTGCTTGGTACTTAGAAACACTCAAATTCTTCTGAATAGACTAAAAAAATATAGCAACATCTATCAAACTAAGACATCAGTATAGTACCGTACAGCCGCGATTTTAAGAGCTCTAGGGGCCCGTAGTTCGGAAAAGTTCGAATCTTGTTCGCAAGGGCCCGGGAGGCTTGGGGCCCGTCGGTGACTTACCCCGATTGCACAGACGTTAAAATCGCCACTACTGATCGAAATAAAAAACGGCGTCCAGTTGGCTTGGAAATGACAATCGATAACATTCCCCATAAATTTTACATATAAAATGCCAGCAATCTTCATTTCATAGCTATCGCTGACGCCGTTTTTCGATCATACGATATAAATAAATGAAACTAGACGATGATGTTGCCTATCGCCTTAATCGCACCTATAGTCCTGTACTTTTTTATCCATTACAACGAAGACGGTGCAGACACCGAAGTGCGATTTTCCGAACCATTATTTCTCGACTACATTTTAATTTATAGGTTAATTGCTCGAAAAGCCACTATACAGTGCTTTTATTGGAGCAGTCACTGGAGCCTTAGCCAAGCTCCACAAAAATCGCCAGACTGGCCCACCTCTAGAGTTTATAAAATTACGATTTTGCGGCGCTACAGACAGTCGACCTTGTAACAAATCAACACTCCAACGCAAATCCAAAACCAGCGCTGTAGAGTTTATAAATCGACCTTTTAAATTTAGTGAGAAATTCTATCATTTATGTTATGGTTAGTTAACATTAATATGATTTATTTAATTATCAGTTTCAAAACTGCGTACAATATTGGTATATAATACACTAAATATACGAATATTCTGACAAAAGACGCTACGGACAGATGACCTTTTCGTCGTAAAACACTCGAAATGATATTAAATAAGTATTTACAATATTTCATGTTTACTTGTACTGAATTACGCGTTTCAATTTAAAATTTTTGCAAATTTGGTAAAAATTGTTCTAAACAACTTTTTGTTCAAGTTGTATATTCATAAAAAACATTTGGTTCATAATTATTTTTGATGATTACCTACCTTGTATTTTTAATATAAACCTAGAAAAAATATGTTTTTGTTTTATTTTTTTTATTCGTCCCTTCAAATTATGTTTCAAAAACTGTTACATAACATGTCCTCTAACAAATATTTTCATAATACATAAACATCATTGATTTTATTAAGGGTATTATTATTAGTATTTATCCTGGTTTTTGTCGACAATAAAAACTCAATCTTGTAATAGAACATCAATTTTATATTTCGTAAAATTATTTTGATACAAATTCGATTTGTCAAAATTCAAGTCATTAATATATTGATAAACAACCCAAATTATTCCTAAATATTTTATTATAAACAAAAACTGTTACCGGTAAGTTTGTAAAACACATTATGGTTTGTCGTAATACTAGAAAAAATCATTTATTTTTTGCACAAAAGAAGCTTGTCGATCCTTATTTGTCCATAACAAAATTCTGTATGTACATATACCTAATTTATTATTAAGAAAATTAGATTATATGATCTCAGAATTTTAAGAAATTTTTTTTTAAGATAAAATAGTTTCTTCTCAACTGTAATATTGTCAACTTTGGCCTGTATTTTATCTATTTAAAAACATGGGATTGACAATCCCCTTACTAAAATACATACTGGAAGGTACCGATTAAGTTTCATTGCATCAAATACCTTTACTATAAATCCTGGCTCACAACTCACAATTTAAGGCCATTGCAAAATGCTTTTGAACTTCATCATAGATTTTACAAGAATAAAAGTGTAATATTGAAACAAAGTAACACTGTAAGCTTCATGACTAATAGTCTCTTTAACACTCTTTACAAATGTGTCGTTAACAGTTATGAATGTTATACTGGTTTTCCTCAATTGATTTGTGGTACGGATACAAATTAATACTTATGCCCCATAGCAGTTTTAAATAAGAACTTTACTCCTACAGTTTAATTTTTCTTATTGGCATAATGCCCTTTCTTCCTATATAAATCTTGCCATTTTTTTCAGTCCAATGTTCCTTGTTATTTCCAAACTTTACGTTTAGGAATATAAAATATTGACTATAGAACTTCGATGCTATATTTGAAAAGTACCTTCAGCCACCTGCTTGGCTGAATTTATGGAAATCTAATTAACTGAATTCACTCCTCTGCAGCCTCTGAACCTGCTGCTGCTAATGTTGAAATATTGCTTTCTCGAGAGCTACAACTGCCTAAGGCAAACTTTGTGAAATAAAATCTTAAATTTTGCTGTTGATTAAAATACCTATCTTATGTTTTTCTTTTCCTCAAATGAAATCTTCTTACATCAGGTAAGGTTCCAATCTGTTTGCCTAGGTAATTACAATGTTGTGACATATTTCTAGTACCATGAACTTATGCTTTCATGGACACTATAACCAGTGCACTTTCTTTTAGAAGCACGAGGCATTTAGTTAGTATCTTCTTCCCCTCCCACATGTAAAACATTTTCTCCTCTTCAAATGGCCCACATCACACTTTCTTGGTTTTGGCCATTTCCCAATTCTAAATCTGATTTTTACAAATCCTGCTTTAGGAAAACTAAAGAAATAAACGGATTTTGGATCATCTATAAACCACGATTATATTGTATAGAAACATACACATGAGAGAGAAACTAATCCATTTTTTTGACGTATTAGCTTTCTTAGAATGACTATGACAATATACAACAAGCCTTTTTGAATTAGTGTTTAGAATAATTGAGATAATAATAAATTTTAACTAGATAACCACACAAACGAAAAAAAAACAAAACAAACAGATGTCAATTAAAGAGGGGAAGTGACAGCGAGACCTGGAAGATGTCTGCCATCTTGTCGTCGACAAAAATTTGGATGCGCACTCGTCGAAGCTCATTCTCCCACTTCCATATCTCTGCTACAAACACGTAAACGTTTACGTACGCATGCGCATTTCTTATATTTTTTATACACGTAAAAGATTCTTTACGTCTACGTATAAGTGCCAGCAGCGGCCGACTCGACCGTATGCCGTTATTCTCTAATAAAAAGTTCTTCTCTGTTCTATATATCCTAGGCAAATCCTAGGTATATATCCCTGGTTGGCACCTAGTTACTTATTCTGTGGTTGGCAGTTACCGGCTGACGGCTGACCAACTTGTCAACTAGATGTAAACATGGAGGGATTATTTAAGTTTTTAAATATTTTCGTGCTAGTTTTCCTAATAGCTCGAGATTTAGTGAATTCTACGAACGTACAGAAGAGATTTGAATATAAATATTCATTTAAACCTCCATATCTAGCGCAGAAAGATGGTTCTGTTCCTTTTTGGGAATACGGTGGCAGTAAGTAGGCTTCTTTTAGACACGTCAATGATTTTTTCTTCTAGTTACGAGAGGACTTAAATGTCTGTCTCTTTTTAACCTACGGAATTATTTAGATCGATTATTTAACGTACTTCTCGAGTAGTTTCTGCTTGACACGTATATAACCAAAAAAACATATGTAAAATAACAATTTTTTCTAATTTTATGTGTGAATGAAGCTATTTTAAGCTGAAATTATAAAGTAATAATGAATTATTACTCATTTAATCTATAAATTTGTTTGTACACTTTTATTTTGGTTATATTGAAAATAGTTTTGTGACCATGCTATTTCAGACTAAACTGCACTGGATTTTTTCCAAATAAGTTTTAAAAACGTATTTGATTTTTGCTTTATATATATGAAAATATATAAACTATTAAAGAATAATGTTTGTAACAGATGCGATAGCTAGTTCAGAAAATGTGAGATTGGCACCATCCTTGAGAAGCCAAAAAGGGGCAATATGGACTAAGAATCCTCTTAATTTCAATGAATGGGAAGTAGATATTGCTTTCAGAATCAGTGGGCGAGGTAGAATAGGTGCCGATGGAATGGTATATACCATTATTAACTTTTTTTACCTTAAATAGTTTTCAATAAACTATATTTCAGGCATTCTGGTATACACAAGCCAAAGGCTCATATGATGGTGATGTTTTTGGATCTTCAGATCAATGGGTTGGTTTAGGCATATTTTTTGATTCATTTGACAATGACAATAAGCATAATAACCCTTATATCTACGCTGTAGTGAACGACGGAAACAAGAAATTTGAGCATCATAGGTAAAATAAACTATTTAAATTATCTTACAAACGGTTTTATGTTTAAGTATTTTTTTAGTGATGGTACAACTCAGCAATTGGCTGGATGCTTGAGAGATTTCCGTAATAAACCTTTTCCAACTCGAGCTAGGATTGAATTTCATAATAATATTCTAACATTACTGTTTCACAATGGCATGACAAACAATGAGCAGGATTATGAGATGTGTTTCAGAGTTGAAAACGTTTTTCTACCAAAGAGTGGCTATTTTGGATTATCAGCTGCCACTGGAGGTCTGGCAGATGATCATGATGTCATTCATTTCCTAACTAGCAGCTTTGGAGCTTCCAGCTCAGTGCCCGGGCAACCAGGTACTTTAATCATTACTTTAATGATATTTATAAATTTTGTATGACTTGATCAATTTTTTCTTAGTGTTGACTGATGACCAACAGAGACTTCAGCAGGAGTATTTGGAATATCAGAAGAAATTAGAACAACAGAAAGAGGAATATAGAAAGGATCATCCCAATGAGGTAAATAAAATTAAAACATTAAGTAATTTCTACTAATTGTTTTCCTGATATATCCTTATATTTTGATTTTTACAGAAAGAACCAGATCTTGAAGATTGGTTTGAATCTGACAATCAGAGAGAATTGAGACAAATCTTCCAAGGTCAAAATCAAATCTATGAAGTTATGAAGGAATTGAACAGAAAATTGGATGAAGTGGTTGGAAAACAAGTAAATACTAGTTGTATTAGTTCACTGTAAGAGTGTATGCTTTAATATTAACCTTGCAGGAGAGAACAATAGGCTTAATAACACAACAAACTGGTGCAGTAGGTTCAAACATTCCTCCTGCACAAGGTCAGAGTTCCCCACCAGCCCAGGCAAGTGGCTTTGTTGACACAATTAGAAGGCACGAAGTTGATGCAATGTTCAATAACCAAAATCAAATGGTTAATAGTATAAGAGAGCTAAGGTCATTAGAATACTTTAGAAATAGTTTATTTTTTACCAGTTGAATTATTTTAGGCAGTTTATTCTTGAAGCCAAACAAAGAATTGACACTGTGATCAATAATCAAGCTAAAGCACCTACTGCTCAAGTGCAAGCAGTGGGATATGATACTCAGTCAATCATAAATGAAGTTAGAGATGGAATCAATCACGTTAAATCTAATGTGGCACAGGTATGTTTGAATTATTCGCATTAAAGGTATAATTTTGTTACATCAGCAATTTTTTTAGGTAGCAAGTCAATTAGGCCAAGGATATAAATGTCCTCAAATCAGCTGTGTGTCACTAACTACCATATTATTCGTTGTGGTACTTCAACTAGCTATTATTCTAGGATATAACTTATACAGGTGAGTTATTCTAAATAAAAATCTTAAATAATAATGTATATAAAATATTTTTGTGATTTCGTTGAATGTGGTAGACAGTAATTCAGTATTGAAATTAAAATAATATTGGAGTTCCATTTTCTTTATTTACTGGGTGAATGCCTGGTTCTAGTATAAAAGCTCAGTAGTTTTAGAATTTAGATTAGTCTACACTTACTTGACTAAGAGTGGGTCCCATGGGACCCTCCACTGCGGCCGCGAGGGCCTATTGTGGCTTAGTTGACACTTAATAAGGGTTAGTGATACATCTGACCCAAACGTTGTTTAAGTTAAAATAAATAAAGACAATGGAAGTCAGAAATTCTTTGTGTTTTTTAAACGCATGTGTTTATTTTAGGGACAGCAAGGATAGCCAGTCGAAAAAGTTTTACTAGGTGCATTTTGTACATGTAAAGACATTATTCTTGTTTTACTAAATTACTTTTTGATAGAAAAAATGCCAAAAACTTCACTCATATTAAAAACGAACTGCTCAAAGATAAATTTTATTATATTGTGTTATATTTTTTGAGATTATACTTATTTCAATACAGCCGTTCATATTTTAGTAGCAGGATTCTTATAAAAAAATTATCTCAAGAAAAGGCCATAGCTGTTTAAGTTTTCAGCAGCTTAAGTCATGCTATAAAAAATGACCATGTGTATATGTAATATCCTCTATACAAAACGGGAATTAAGCTTCATGAAGATATTAAAGGGCTCTCTTTATTTGTATCTAAAATCGTAAGAAACACTACTTAATTTATATAATTTATCAGTTGTCTATTTAAGATCTAATTTAGTGTAAAGGGTTATGTAATTATTAAAAAAATGCTGTTTCATTGTAGATGTCTTCCGGTTCTTCTTTAAAATTCAGTAATTTTTGTTGTTAATATTATTAATTTTTGTTAAATACTGTCTAATTTCCTTTTGTATATTATCTACAGTATGTCCCCGGACTGTCTTTACAAGAGGATTTTTTTTTATTATTGACATTTTGAGAAAAATGCGTTTTGATTTGTAGGACTATTGTTAGAAAAAAATTCAACTATATTTTCATTTTAATTTTTCTCTAAAATGGTATGGAAATTACGTATACAATAAATATAAGTACAAACATTTTTATGAAGAATGCATTTTTCTCAAAATAAAAAAGCTTTTCCTCTCGGAAAGGCAATCCGAATCCGGGAGCGTACTGTATAGAATAAATCATTTTCATGATGAACAAAAATGAAATAAATTGTGTATTTTTTAGTCTTTTTTTCCTCTCGTTTTTTAAACACAAATTAGCGGAAATGTCATAAAATATCGCTATAGAGCGATCGAAAAAACAGCGTCTTAACTATGGTCTTAACATCTGAAAGCGCTGTAACAACTAATGTAAAAATTAGTCAAAAAAAATATCAGGGATTTGTAAATTAAACAAGAAGAAGGCGCTCAAGTAATGTATTTTTTACATTTTAACAAATAAGATCTGTTACTTACAATGAACGGTTTCTTGGCGCACATTACAATATCAAATAGAAATTTATCTTTTTTTTTTCATTTTTTTTCTATTTTTTTTAATTTAAATTTGTACTTAAAACTGAAATAGGTCTATATAATTATATACACCTATCAAAGTGGTGAAAATTTCCAAATAACATTACGTAATAAGATAAACAGGCGAACTTACAAACTATATGATCTATGCCAAAGAAATATCATTTAAGACATTAACATCAATTATTTTTTTTATACATTTCGTTTTCAAGACATCAAAACTTCTCTAAATTATGACTTAATGACATTAAAAAAATTATTAAGTGATCCTTTGTTTAAAAAAAGACAATTAAAAACACAAATATGGCCGTCAAATTAGACATAGAACTAAAAAATGTATCCTTTAAAAACAAATATACAGGCACACACAGAAAAAAAAACGAAAAAATATAAATCCACTTAAAAATTATCAAATATATATATATCACATTTTTATAGCAAGGTTTCTATATTTTTATAACCACATATTTCTAAACCTAAACATACTTATCTTTATGTGTTTTTTTTTTCTCTTTTTCTATAATATGTATATTTACATATTTACAAATATTAAAAACTACAACAGTGGGACCCTCAATCGTTTAGATTTTTTTTGCGAAACAAATTATCTACACTCGTCAAACGCGCCAAGAATGAATTTAGAATGTTGACGTCCATGAAAAAATGGAACATTAGCAGTAAATATTCTGGTCGGACATTTTAGGTCTAGATTTATTTTTTTATGCCAGGTAGGTATAAGTTTATACAGCATCAAAAACGAACAACGTTAAGTAAGTTTCAAATTGACTATAGGTGTTAAATGACACTTTTATAGGTAGAGTGAAGAAATGATTTATGAATTAGGACCCAAAATGGACGACGAGAAAACTTTATTTTAGTGCTGTATGATAAAAACCGAGTGTATTTCAGTGCAGTAAGTGTAAAAAAATCGAAAAAATGTAATAACAGGGAAAATGCAAATTAATCTCTTGGTTTCGAGAACAGATTTGTGGTTTTTGTCAAAAGATTTGTTCATGTACTCACACCAGTTAGTATGTCACACCTTCCTGAACAAACATCATGGAATAACCTAAAAGTTGTCTACAGTACCAGCGAGTGTAGAGTGAAGGGATAACTAAATCTACACACAGATAGAGAAAACTTTAAAAATAGCATTTATGAATTTCAAATATATTCATAAATTAATCTGTAAAAAATGTTATTTCTATGCCTACCATGGCACAAATTCGAACTACTTTTAAAGTTTCCTTCAATTGTCGAGAAAAGAAAAACCATACATCTTAGAAACTTAAATAAATAAAGTTTTATCTCTAAAAGCTAACGTTAGCGCGTTTTTTCCGGTAAAATCATGTTTTTTTGCGCTACATGCCTACGTTTAAACCTATGTACAACTAGTCTAATATGTACACTATTGCCTTTCTCCTTTTTTTCGTTTATTCATCGCCTGCGGATTGTTCTGAATCGTCCGATGGTTGTGATTGTATGTTGGATGGTAAATGTTACCCGGCACTCTAGACTCATACTTCTTATTGGGTAAGTTCCGGATTTTGTTCCGATTGTTCATCACTCGATTGGATGAATAACTCATGTTAGGAGAATGGTCTCTCGAGGGCCGATCTGATCCCTAAAAAATTGATATCGATATTTTAAAATGACGATACTTTTGAACATCTTTAGCGTTACCTCTGAACTGACCCCGCTTTCTTCCGCACTGCTGGTGCTACCTGTACTGGAGGATCTAGAGGGTTTGGCCACGAGTGCCCCGGTAGATCCTATTATCATGGAACTCCCTATCTGAGTGCCCCTTATGATGTCTTCAATCTTCCTTCTGTGCTGGACAACATTATCCCTTACTCTAACGATACGCCCCAAGATACTTTGATTGTAGCAGTCGTTGTGTACCGACATGGGATGGACCACGTTGGTAAGAATGGTATAAGCGTACTCGAAAGCCTTTTTCACCTTAAAATGACAAATTCTTTAAAATGCTTATACCAATGATAGTCTAGTCAACTTGTATTTTTGGGAGGAAAGTTTTGAGGTAGTTTGAATTTATATCATTCTTATATTCAAAATTTCATCAACATACAATTATTTATGAATTCATCTAATAAAAAATTAGAGCTACTTGGCAGTTGGTTGAAAATATTATTAATAAAAATCAATTCTTAAGTTTTAGAGTTTCTCAAGGAAATATATCATGTACTGTATGATAAAAAAACAGCGTCTAGTTGACTTGGAAATGACCATCAATAACATTCCCCATATAATTTTACATATAAGATGACGGCGATTTTCACATCATAGACGTCGCTAACGCCGTTTTTTTTTCAATTTTATGGTATGGTTGTAATCCCAACGCAATAGTAGATATAATCAATGACTTTTGTAAATGCTTGTCCAACACTCAATAAAACTACATAAACGAATATTTTATGCAATATTGTATCTAAAACTATACCTGAATATATTATATAAGCATACAATAAGATCTAATTTAAAACATAAAAGGTAATTTATATAAATAACTTATTAAAATTATTAAAGAAACGACTGATTACATTTCTGATCCACTCTCACATATGAGAATCTACCGGAGACAGTGGTGCAAAGCAAAAATTTACAACATAATAAGAATAGCATAAGTAATTAAGAAATCAAAATAATTAGTTTTTATATAAATTGGGGATTTTTTTTCAGTGTGTCTTTTTGTGTCTAGCCCCAGCAGGCAACTATTAAGCCCGACCAATCACGTTAGAGTTTTTGACAAACACAAATGAATTAACACCCTCCAAACAACCACGCTAACCAACCTGATTGGTCAAGCTTAATAGTTTCTTGTTGGGCTAGACACTTCTGTCGAGGCGCGACGCGGACAAAATTAAATCACGCATTACTTCCTCATTCTATCTCTTCCTTACGTATGGCCCTCCAAGCATTGCGGTCTGTAGCGTACATGGAGGATTCGCAAAGGCACAACCTTTAGCATCCATAAAGGTGCGTCCAGACTTGAGCATTTTAGCCCGAACAAACCGAACGCGCCAAACGTTTTGCGGACCGTGTCGGTAAATCGGAATTGCTCAAAAGGATTTAGAGTTTGCCGAATTATTCAGTTAGTCAGTGTTACCAACCTAGGGTTTTTATCCCTAAATTTAGGGGGAAAATCTGTACAGGGTTTTTCAGGGGTAAAATTCTTTAGGGATAAAATTTCAGTGTATTTTTATCGTTACTGCTACTTATCAAAATTAATAGGAAGTATAAATAAAATAAAATAATTTATTTATTTAATAAATGTCAGGCACACGATTTTCAAAATTTCAAATAAACTGGAATTGGAATATACCATATTTTATTATTTTTATGTAAGTTGAAATGTAGATACAAAACAATCAGAAACAATCAGATTTTCCGAAATTAGTATAAAAACTTACTTTCTCACATCTGATTGTCTCTGACTGGTTCGTAACTATTCTGGAAACAAAGAAAATAATCAATAAAGGATAGGTATTATCCTTGTTTATATATTCTTAAAGTTGATCAACCTCTCGACAAAATGTGCTGCCTCTGGTGAACAAATCGTGAAGCTTTAAAGGAATGAAGCATGTGATTAGGGGCGGAGTCAAAAATATCGATTATTTGCGGTATTCCCCTCAGAGTAATGTAATAATATAGCTCGGATTTTTGCGAATTATAATAGGGCTCAACTGATTAAGAAATTTAAACAAAACTATTATTTCATTGTTGATTTTCGATTATTTTTGCTGTTATTTTAAGGATTCTAAACCGTCTTAACAAATAAATTATTATTTCAATAGGTGTACATTAATGCTAATTAATGGTAATTATTAATATTTAAAAAAAGTTACATACACATACTTTATTTCGATTTGACACAGGGCTATGAAATTTTATTTCATTCTTAGATCATTTTATTCTAAATTGAGGTTTTACGAATTTACGATAATTTTTTTTTAAAACAAAACTTTTATACATTCTTGATTAAATTTTTTCTTAATTAAAAATAAAACTTGGCACTTGCTTCAATAATATTATTTGACATTTAAATAAATATTATGTACTTAATACACCATTTAAATCTTTATTACACGAAATAAATATTTTTTAGCGTAAAACATGATCAGAGTCAAATTTGTTTTAACTTTGTACCATATGAAAAAAAAACGGCGTCCAGTTGGCTGGGAAATGACGATCGACATTTCCCATATAAATTTAAAAATGACAGCGATCTTATTTCATAGCCATCACTGACGCCGTTTATTTTCGATCAAGAATTATAGAAACTGAAAATATCATTATTTTTTAACTCACAAAACCCATAAAACTTTCTAGCATATTGTTTTATTAGGAGTAAAAATGACAGTTTTCGTGGCGAGACTGTACGTTTGACATACAGCCGAAGCACAAAAAGTCATTTTTACTCCGAATAAAGCATGCTTTTTTTTTTAAACGCCACAAATAATTTTTTAAACAATTTCAACCGTTCCAAATAATATAAAAGATTTAAAACTCATACCTTGTAAGTAATTATCATGATACAAAGAAAACAAGGTATGATATTGCGCAGGTTGGTCACCACGTCACAGGTGATAAACGGCACTATTGGTCGGCAAGCTCCACGCGCCAATTTCAAATTTTCAAACAGATGATACATAATAAATGTGTATGTGTCATAACTTTTCAAATGTCAATCTCGATGATTTTACATAACTTTAGGGATTATGTCCGAATTCTTCCCTATTTTAAGTCTTTTTTTATTAGTGGCAATTGAACAATAAGGATATTTTTTTGTATGGCATATGACGTCACAGGCGATATGCGCAAACTGAACGAAATTGGAGTCGCTATCGATTACACCTTGTTTTCAAGTTTTCTTTGTACCATGAGTAATTATATATCGAGAAACTATGGTTACGGCTCGTTGAATTTGAGACTTATGCCATTTTAATAATATATTTTCATACTTTTATGCTTCGGCGTAAAAGTGCTTTACTTTTATGCCTAGGCGTTAAAATGACTTTTATATTGTCAATCACGTCGCAAAAATTAATACTTTTGTGACATTTGAAAAGAAATAACATTTTGAAAGTAACTGGTATATTTTTCTGCCACAACAAAGTTATTATACAGTGATAAATGATAAGATCATATTGAAATACGTCTACTAGTTAAAAAAAATTGGCTAAATTTTATCAATAATACTCCAGTTCAAAAGTTATTTTCCAAAATTATTAATATTTTTTAATAATTGATTGCAATTAATATTATTTGACTAGTTTAATTTGATTAATAAGACTAGATTAATTTAATTTAAAATAAATTTTATCAGATTTTTTTTCGTATATTCAACTACCAGAAAACCAAAATTATATGATAACGCACTTTTAAACGAAGTTGAAGGAAGATTATAATGTATCTATCACACTATTTAAAAGCACTACTATAATTATTAGAAGAAAAACAAAAAGAAAAAAATACCCAAATACCTTCACCTTCTACTCAACTACAAAATAAATGAATATAATCTCTTACAAGAACACTACACAAACTACTTCTTGTATTCTACACTAAACAAATTATCAAACTTATTAATTAATCAAACATAAAGAAAAATTAAGCAAATTACCCCTTCATCTACAACTTCAAAATAAAATATAAAAACACTACTAAATTACTTCTGGTAGTCTACACTAAACATTATAATCAAACTTAATAAATTAATCTAATTTTACATTACAACTACAAAGAAACAAGAAAATGTTTTAAAACTACAAGAAACAAAACTTCGACACGTGCGACCAGTGTAATAGATCAAACGGACAAAGAATATAAAATACTTTAAAATGTGCATTCAGAAAGAAAAAATATCTCGAAAATTATCTAAACAAACATTTTTTTTCTTATCAGTGAAAAACATCGACCTCGTCGGCCTTGCGGAATTTGTCGGGTATTTACAATGGTCGAATTGTATAATTACCAGCTTTTATAGCATATCTAATATACAAAAAATATCTGGTCGATTAGTAACCAATTGGCACAGTCCGAAAATTATCGATTTTTATTTTCTCTGTTTTTATTGGCCGCTTCTAAATTCAGAGTAAAAAAAAAATATTTTTCTGTAGTAAAAGACTGTGAAATACGCCCCGCCATCTGGTGCTTTATATCCATAAACGTCTTAGGTTGAGCTACTTTAAAAATTCATATACAAGGGTATTATATAAAAAGGGGTTAAAATATTGTAGTGTCAAATGGTTCCATCACAGATTTTACAATACAGATAAAAATAAATTCATAAAAATTAATTCAAACTATAAGATAGGTACCGTATGATCAAAAAGAAAACCCGCCGTCAGCGATGGCTATGAAATGAAGATCGCTGTCATTTTATATGTAAATTTATATGGGAAATGTCATCGATCGTCATTTCCCAGCCAACTGGACGCCTTTTTTTCGAACATGCGGTATTTATTAATAAAGCTAATATACATAACCTACTTTGAAATAGTTTCTTCGAAAAAACCTCCTTGAAATAGTTTTATAGGCACATTAATTTTCAAAAAAATTAAGAGTAAAAGTAACTAAAATATTCACAAAAATAGAAGTATTTACAAAAATTATTGTAATACAAAACTGGGAAAATCTTGTAATAAAGTACGTAGGTACCTGAAACAATTTAGTTTTAAATAAACAATATTTTGAAATTACTAACTCGGTTGATGAAAATGATGTTGATCACAAACTACTTCCTCACCTTAGACCTCCGGTATACCGGTACCAGGGGCGCTATTCTGTACAATCGTCGGAATCGGTGAGTTACCGATAGCTATCGGTACGTATTTGCATATAGTAAATCAGTGCCTTCTATTAAAAGATCAGCCAGCGGGCGAGATTTATGACGTCACGCTAGTTAGATATAACGGATTAATAAATATGTTGTAGAATACATGGAAAACATAATCATTCCTCAGACTTTTGGTATGTATTTTAAAAATGATATAGTTTACATGAAATATACATAATATACAGTTAATAACTACAACATATATACCTATTTATAGTAATAAATACTTTGGCAAATAAACTATAAACCATACAAATGCAGCAAATATTTTACAATATACAAATAATGTATAGGTACATAAGATATTGGGTAAAATGAAATATATTTTAAATTTTAGGGTTTGAAAATCGATCTAATTTAACAAAAACATTCAATATCTACTAATAGTGATGTATTATTATTTGCATTCACAAAATTTATATGTATATTTTGCAAGTATCAATGTTCGAAAAATTATATTTACAAATAATACAATATTATCTAAAAAAAGGCGTCAGGGATGGCTATGAAATGAAGATCGCTGGCATTTTATATATAAAATTATTCTAAAATTTTTGATTTTCTTGGGATTTTTAGGTGCGGGAAAACGCTGATTTAAGTTTTCATTTGGGTTTCATTATTTTTATTTGGTTTAAAATAACGTTTCGGCTAATTATAGCCTTCATCAGTGTTGTGTCATATGAGAAAAATAGTGTCGAATATAATCCAAAAAATTACATATACAATATAATTCACACCTCATAATATTTACTGCAATTAATAAACTAATATAAACTTATCAAAAGATGACCACATATTTTTTAAAATTATTATTCTTAACACTAAAATTATCTACATTGACTATGGAGTACGCAGTAAACATTATGTGCGTGGTGTGAATATTTTATATGTAATTTTTTGGATTATATTCGACACTATTTTTTTCATATGACACAACACTGATGAAGGCTATAATGTTAACCGAAACGTTTTTTTTAAACCAAATAAAAATAATGAAAAACCAAATGAAAATTTAATCAGCGTTTTTCCCGAACCTAAATCCCAAGAAAATCAAAAAATTTAGAATATTTAGAAACAAGGTTCAAGAATATCAAATTTTCCAAGATTGTAAAATTCTAGTTAATTATTTTATGTGTACAGTTATTTAGGGAATGTCATCGATGTTCATTTCCAAGCCAACTAGACGCCGATTTTTTCGATGATACGGTATAATTCTTACGTAAAATGTAAATAACATTAGACCAATTAAAACAAAGAAATATGAATTTCTTAGTATTTTTAGTAACACCTTTATTCTTAAAACTTAATTTTGTATTATGCAAATATACCAATTTTATTGTTATTTTATTAATATTGTATTCAGCCATCACTTAAATATTTGATATTAATTTGGTATTATAAATAATCAACACTATTCATTAAAAATTACGGAACCAATATATGTTATGCTTGACATACATTATATATTATCAAACAAAAACACATTCTTCTTTTAAACTGTATCAGTCTTGTCTTTACAAAAATCTTTTTTAAAATTTGAACTCAAAATAATAATCTTTAATACACATATTCTTTATTTTTCCCTAGATCATAATACCTACTTACGTGTTTGAATCTATCGAGCTGAACCAACATACCAACAACACTTGGGTGGAGATTCCACCAATATGAATAAAATAAACATAATTGTCCAGTTTTCATTAATACCATCATGGGAGAATATTATTTTTAAATTTATTAAAGATATTTTCAATAGAATTCTCTTGATTTATAACCCGTACCCACTTTTCTTGCTCTTCCGGATACTTTAGGCTGCCTAGTATAACTATCCTTTCCACCAGACCAGGAACACAACAAAGATGAGGCATAGCACCAAAAACACACTCCACTTAAGTTTTATTGATGAATTGTTAGAGTCTTAAAAAACACAAAAATCACGATAAGTAAAAAATGTATGGGCACTTTTAGGTTAAATCACTTGCACAACGTGTAATTTTTAAAATTTCTATTTTTTTATGCGAAACCGAGAGTGACCATATATCTGGTAGTAGTTTCTGTCACTTAAACACCAAAATAATTAGTTTTTTGCACTACAATAATAAATAATACCAAAAATCAAAAAGTTAAAACCAAAAATCAACCGACAAAATATGAAACGGAATCTAACCCATTATCTAAGTATGTACAGCTGATGAAGTAAACAAAAGTCCGCCCCCAGGCTGATCTTTTACTAGAAGGCACTGAGTAAATATGTGTTAATTGTTGTTGTCATAGTTACCGATCGGCCCTATGACAGATATCGCAAATTTATACCGACGACTCTCGGTATCTCTACCGTGAGGTTGACAAGGGCACGGTAGAGATACCGATTTTCGTCGGTACAAATTTACGATATCTGCCATAGGACCGATCGGTAACTATGACAACAACGATTAACACATTTTTACTATATACAAATACGTATCGAGAGCTGTCGTAACTTACCGATACCGACGATTTTACAGAATAGCGCCCCAGGACCGGTACTTTTGAAATATTCCGGTATCGGTATCGTCTTTTACAAAACCGGTATACCGGAAGACCAGTTTAGGAACCGATACCGGAAAACCGTTATCGGAAGACCGTTTTCAATCAGTACAGAAAAATAGGTGCATGATAATATGCAAATCAAAAAACCTGTATAAAACGATTTCGGTACCGAATTTTATACAAAACTGAATATCGTCCCATTGCTGCCAAAAGTCACTAACTTACTTTTTATTACTTCCGAAAAAAATGCGTCTAAAGAAGAATTTCATTGCATAAAGATGTTATAGTTAGTAACTATTCGGTATTAAAATAAAACATAAATAGCCAGAAATCGTAGTTAATGACTTTTGCAATCGATTCTCCGATTCAAAACATAGTTAGTGATTGAATTTGGTTGTTCGGAAAAATGTTAGTTAGTGACTTTTGGCAGGAATAGGACGATATGTTCCCCTACTCTATGTATAATCTTAATAAGTATTAGGTTAGTATAAAAAATAATGTTTAGCATTTCCTTTCATATTTTCTAATTTATTTTTTATTAACAACGGCAACTTAAATAGAAAGTTTTTTTTATAATATAGATTTTTGTATGCAATAAATATAACAAGTATTTATCTTAAATTATATTATCTCCTTATAGTTTAATTATTTCTTTCTCATAACAAAACTCACATAGAAATACAAGAATCATACAACATTCTGACCTATTATTTTCCAAGTAGATAAATAAAAAGAAAAAAACACCTTTAGCTTTATTTTTGAAAGCTACTTTTTGTAGTATAATGAAATATACTCTCAAGCGTATATCCGACGGTTATATTATATAAAAGTGTTTATTTACCAATATTAACAAACAAGATGTTAACTTTTTTAATCCGTCAGATAAGGGGTTGTTCGTTAACACAGCAGTATTACAGACACGTACTGGGTGGTCGTATTAAAATGTCACGGCTTCTCGAAGGCTACGAGGGCAGAACGTAAACAAACCCTCTGTAACAATTAAAGTAATAATTGTCTGATATATTTACATTTTTTAATACGGTATCATGTAGTATATGCCCACTGGCACAGCAATCAAAACTGTTATTTCGATCTTTCCGATATTCCGGTAGTTGGGTCTTCCGGTATACCGGTTCAGTATCGGTCCCATCGACCTAATTCTTGGACGGTTGTAGGACTGGTAATTCGTTGTACCGGATACTGGTACTGAAATCTTAGGACCGAACATCCCTACCTCACCTGTCCCAATAAAGATCTAAAATCATAAATCCAGTGGAAAAATACATTAATTGCAACAATGAAGTTCAGAAATAATAATAATTAGCTGATGATTTACCGGTATCAAATTTGGAAAAGTGTGGTTTAGATCAGTAGAAAAATAAACAGAATATCTCCCTTTTTGTCATTCGTGCGAACGCAATGCTTTTCTTTCGGCCTATTCGTTCTGCTCGTTCCTGCGTGCTCAGTTCGTTGTTCGTTCGGGCTAAAATGCTCAAGTTTGGACGCACCTTTAGAGAAAATATAAAGTAAATCAAACCGCCTTGGCGTAAATCATATGGAGCGCCTTTAATAAAAATAATAAGAATGAACAAGAGCATTAAAACACGTGCGCACGTAGGTAGGCGCTCAATATATTTTCACATATAGTAATTTAGATAGAATTTAAAATAAAACTAGAAAAAAATACGATTATGTCAGCAACAAATGAAGCCTCTTTTAAAGTAGGTTTCACAGAGTAAGAAAATGAAAATGTTCAACTATGTATAATCAAGGAATTACTTCAACAGTCGACATCCAAAGAATGACAGAAAATACAATTTGTCTACTCTGTCAGTGATTCTCTCGTTAGCCAGACTATAGATCTTGAGCCAATAGAGAAAAAAATAAATAACAAAAATTATAGAAAAAGTTATTATTTTAATTTGGATTACATATTTTCTGAGTTAGGAAAAAATCCCTTGAAAAATATTTTTTAATTTATTGCAATGTTGTGTCCCGTCAAGAAATTTTGTTGGGAAACCTGAGATTTGAATTCAACAGCCCAAAAATATATAGAAAATCAAAGCTGCCTCAAAACTTTACCGCTAGGGTTCTATTTGGCACAATTTAACTAGTCTGAATATTCCATTTTGGCTAAGAGAGGAGTATTTAGAATAAAACTGTTCATATTCTTACCAGCAGTATACCATAACTGCTACGTCCAATATCATTTGACGGTAGCAAAGGGTCTTCTATGCACAACATACTGGGTCTGTGACCATCTACCATATCCTTTTGCATTTCCTCCTATACGAGAACAAGCATTATACTATTTTTTGCACCAATGACATAAAAGAAAGTATTTTTTTGTTTTTTTTTATGTTCTTTGACCTTTAAAATTATATTTTTATATATGTTTTCTCTTGGTTTTAGGTCAGTAATAATTTTCCTTTTATTTCATTAAGTACATTTATTTTTTATACACCGTCTTACGTTTCGACCATCAGAGTCTACAATTTTTACATTAAACGAATTTTTAAAAAATCATTAAATATACAATAAAAATATTTTTGTTTTACTTATCCAAGAACGTAGATCATAGAAAGAAACTTTATAAAAAACAATCACGGAACACATTTAACAAACAGGACGGTTGCGAATTTTCAAACATATTTTTTAATTTTACTATAGGGCCAACGACCTACGTACAATAATATTATAATATAGAAACATATAGTTTGCTCAGCCTATTTACATCTTTTTTGTCGTTTATTGATTTTGCGTTTTTTTGTATTTCTACCATTTCGAGGAATTCCCTCTTTTTTGTCATAGATTCAGTTCTCAAAATCTTCGTTTGGCTGTAATTAAATGTATGTTCTTTACTATTTTCATGATTTGTCAGTGCAGTCTGGTTTTTTTTATCATATTTGTGGCCCTTAATTCGATTTTCCAGATATTGACTAGTTTGGCCGATGTATACTGCATCACAATCATTGCATGGTATTTGATATACGATATTACTTTTTTTGTTTTTAGGCGTTTTCGTTTTTAATTTACTGAAATTTTTATTTAACAGGTTGTAGCCACGGTGACATATGTTAATTTGGTATTTTTTAAATGTTTTTTGTAGTTGTTGAGATAACCCTTTTATGTATGGAACAGATATGAATTTATTGTCTTTTTTCTTCTTATTTGCATTTGCAGTGTTTGTGTTGTAAAATTTATGTTTTCTGGATTTAAATATTTTATTAACTAAATTTTCGGGGTAGTTGTTTAATTTTAAGGCATCTTTGGCTTTTTTTATAGCTGTTTTTCTAAATTCTGGATCGGATAATTGTATAGTACGATCTGCCAAACCTATAACTACTGATTTTTTCTGCGGAACTGGGTGATTGGATGAAAAATTTAAATATCGCGATGACCATGTCTAATATACGATTTACCAAAGCTTCACAAAGACAATGTTCCACTGAGACCTATTGTATCTTGCGTTCAGTCTCCTTATGAAAAACGTTCAAAATGTTTAAAAGGGATCTTAAATAATATAGCACATAAAAACAACTATTATATAAAAGATTCAAAAGATTTTAAAGAAAAAATTAAAAATATAGATATACCAATAGCACAGAATATCTAGCTACGCAACAGAAAAATACTCGAAATGAAAGAGCTAAAATTGCACAAATAGAATACTAGATGGCGCGACAATGTCATAATCAGAATATAATTAGAAATTTTGAACTTTCGGTTTTGGATCGACGGCTCGTCGACGGCCTTATAGCTCGGCTAAGACTTGAATTGGCATCCCATTCTTTTTATTATGTATAATGCAGTATGTGTTTTTTTCTATTCATCTTTTCTTGTCAGATACACTTATATTAATTATTCCTTTGGCTATTAAAATAGTTTTAAGTATATTATTACAAAACATATACATTTTTTATATACACTACCTTATAATGTTAACTAAGAAAATACCTTTAATTACCTTTAAAATTAATAATAGACAGGGCGATTGATAGTGATATTTATTAATGCTGGAACGTTAGTAATGAAATATAAGTTTAATAATAATGGAAATAATTTATTAAAATGCAGTACAAAAAATGTTAACTGACTAAAAAATACTATAATAACAAATTTCTTCCGTTTGCCACGTTATTTATATAGACCTAGGTAGATTTTAAAAAAAGTGACACAGGTACAATTAATAATATATTAGTTCGGCATAAAAGTTGCTGTCACGACATCGAACAATAAATTAAAATAAATTAAAATTCGTAAAATAAATTAAAATTATTAATTAAACAAATCTTTATAAAGAAACGCAAGTATACCAAATTTGGGCCCAATCGAACTCCAGGAAATAATATCATAATAGTGTACTATATTATGGTACCACTCGATATGCTTGAAAGGGTACCATAATATTGCAATATCTCGAAGATCCGTAGTATACCAAATTTAAGAACAATCGAACGCCATGACATGGTATCGTAATATGGTACTATATTAAGGTACCACTTTATATACATCATAGTTCAATCATATTACAATGTAACCGAAGATACGTAGTATACCAAGTTAGAGCCCAATCGAACGCCAGGAAATGGTATCGTAATATGGTACTATATTAAGGTACCACTTTATATGCATCATAGTACCATCATATTACAATGTCACCGAAAATACGTAGTATCCCAAGTTTAAGCCCAATCGAACGCCATGTATCTAATATAGTACTATATTATGGTACCAGTTAATGGTACCATAATAATGCAATGTCATCAAAAATACGCAAGTATATATCAAATATCAGCTCAATCGAACGCCAGGAAATGGTATTGAAATATGGTACTATATTAAGGTACCACTTTATATGCATCATAGTACCATCATATTACAATGTAACCGAAGATACGTACAGCAAGGCTTTTATCCAAGGACCTAGCTCCAAAACCGCAAAAGAACTGCTAATGCTTAGCAGGAATAAATTGCGGATTACAACAGGCCTCTTGACAGGACATATGGCTGTCAAGTGTTACCTGAACAAGCTCAATCTGTATCAAGGAAGTCTTTGCTGCAGACTCTGCGATAAAGATCCTGAAACAGTGGAGCACATAATATGTCACTGCGAGGCTCTGGATCGCAAGCGACACTTTATTTGGGAAAGCTAGGCTAGAACCGGAGGAACTATGCTCCCATCCTATCAAGGACCTGCATAAGTTAGTGCAGGGCACAGGGATAGGAGAATGGGTGCAGATATAGAAAGGGGACAAACACAATAGACCTCACAGGTCGCAGTGTTTCCGGCAGAGGACGGCCCCTTATTGTGGAAAAAAAAATGGCATCGTAATATGGTACTATATTATGGTACCTCGTATTATGCTCCATGGTACCATAATATTACAATATCACCGAAAATACGTAGTATACCAAGTTTAAGCCCTATTGCCGCCATGTACCTAATATTGCTATGTCATCAAATATGGTACTATAGAAGGTACCACTTTATATGCTCCATGGTACCATGATATTACAATGTCACTGAAGATATAGTATACCAAGTTTAAGCCCAATCGAACGCTATGTATCGTAATATAGTACTATATTATGGTATCACTTGATATGCTTCTGAAAAAAACGGCGTCCAGTTGGCTGAAAAAGGACGATCGATGACATTTCCCATATAAATTTAGATATAAAATGACAGCGATATTCATTTCATAGCTATCGCTAACGCCGTTTTTTCCCGATTATACGATATGAACTTGGTATGAACACAACTGAACGTCAGCAAGTGGTATCATAATAGTAGAACAATACTTATTATATTGTCGCCGAATTACAATGAAAATTCAGGATTCAATTATACAATCAAACGTCAGGAAGTGATTGTAATTTAGCTCATAAGATTTAATTCCAACTAACATGGCAAACTGAAAAAAACAGCTCTGATCTATTTTAATATGTTTAAATGATGTAGCAAATTTGAAGGTAGGCTTTATCAGGAAGTATTACGATAATGAATTACACAATGGCAACACTGCACAAAATTCTTTTAAATTTTGTTTGTAGAAAACTGTTTTCTTTTAAATTTATTGCCCTCTATTATGTAGTAGCGAAACTACCACATCAAAATATCTGATTTGGAGACAGGCTTTTAAAGCCTGTCTCCTTTTGCTACCTACAATTTTATACATGTAACGAGGCTTCTGTTGCGTAGCTAGATATTCTGTGCCAATAGGATATAAATTAATTTCTTTAGATGTAATCTCATTATATACGAGCATTCCAATAAAACTTGCAACAGATATAATTAAAAAGAAATGGAATCAAATTAAAAATCATACAAATATCCCAAAAAATGAATTTATAAACGCAGTTGAACTAACATTAAATTCTACATATTTCTTATATAATAACGACATATACCAGCAAATCGAGAGATGCGCTATGGGAGCATCAATATCAAGTATAATAGCTCAAATTGTAATGGAGGATTTGGAGGAGAGTGTATTGGGTAACTTGAATTTTAAGGTGCCGTTCTTTTATAGATATGTCGATGATATTATAACTGCTATACCCAAAAATAAGATAAACAGTATAATAAGCGAATTCAATAAATATCATGAAAATATTAAATTTACCTTAGAAACGGATGAAAATTCAAAAATAAATTTCTTAGATGTCACCATACACCATAATTCAAGAAAATTAAAAACGGAATGGCATACCAAAAAGACATGGTCATCGCGATATTTAAATTTTTCATCCAATCACCCAATTTCGCAGAAAAAATCAGTGGTTATAGGTTTGGCAGATCGTGCTATACAATTATCCGATCCAGAATTTAGAAAAACAGCTATAAAAAAGCCAAAGATGCCTTAAAATTAAACAACTACCCCGAAAATTTAGTTAATAAAATATTTAAATCCAGAATACGTAAATTTTACAACACAAACACTGCAAATGCAAATAAGAAGAAAAAAGACAATAAATCCATATCTGTTTCATACATAAAAGGGTTATCTCAACAACTCCAAAAAACATTTAAAAAATACCAAATTAACATATGTCACCGTGGCTACAACCTGTTAAATAAAAATTTCAGTAAATTAAAAACGAAAACGCCTAAAAACAAGAAAAGTAATATCACAGACTAACCTAAACAGATGCGACAAACAATGCAAATGTGAAAATTACATTTTGGCGAATGCGCCAGGCAAATTTTTCCGTTAGATTTGTCATATAGGCGAATTTTACAGCGGACCAGCAAAGTAACCTCCATTCGTTTACTAAGAAGC